GGAAGGTAAACAGATTTTATAATTCGCGTATTTTTTTTTGAGTTACAGAACCCAAAAAAGGCATACCTAACCAAAATTTATTAATTTTGGAACCCTTTCAAACGTAAATGGGGAAACTCTTGTCTATTTTAATTTTGCTAATAATTTAAAATTAACACGGATAAATCGAGAATTTACAAATGAATACAGTTTATAGCTACATCACGATTTAATTATCATACTTAACACTTATTTAATATATTTATGGGTATGGCACTTAGGAATTTATTAAATTGTGAAGTGTTGATAAACAGTGATTAGAATACACAAATAATATTAACCACTATTTGTCGTTCAGATATAATTTGTAGACCTTTATGACCCAAGATAAGTAATGTTAGATGGTAGATTTAATATTAAAATTCACGTGTCACAGTTTCAGTTTCAATTCTTAACAGATTGTGATTAAAATTTTTATGTATATTCAGTGGGTCTAAGAATAGTTTGCTATTTATTTTTATACCCCTAAGTGATTTAAAAGGTTGGTCCACCCTTTTATATAGCAAAACATCGTTTGCTGCGGCAGCTAGTTTCTGGATCTATACTAATATTATAAAGCTGAAGAGTTTGTTTGTTTGAACGTGCTAATCTCAAGAACTAATGGTTCGAATTGAAAAAATATTTTTGTGTTGAATAGACCATTCATCGAGGAAGGCTCATCACACAGCAACAATTAGGAGCGAAGAAATAATGGAAAACGCGGTCAAAGTCGCTGGCGGCTACTAGTAACATATAAAACTAGAAGAGCTTGATGTCGCAGTGTTAAGCAACTTTTTTAAAAGGCTAGTCATAGGATGTGTAATGAAAATTTTATTATCTCGATATTTTTCGCGCTTCGGAAGGCACGGTGCCCGCTGTATCTTCAGTAGTTAACGCAGTGTGGATATTAATAGGCTGGTGACTACCTCAGCATAGAGGATGAACTACGCGTGGAATGAATGAATGCTCAGTGATTTGAAAAAAATTCGAATTATACATATACAGGCATACCGCTTAACTGTTGCGTATCATTTTGATCATTAGACTTTAAAAAGGTAAAAATTAATTCAGGAGTCCCTGTGGTTATATTGAACCTTCATGGTTTCACACTGGGTTTGGCGACACATAATTTCTTTTTAAAAGTAGTACTTAAAAAAATAGATGGGTAAATTCAGAAAGTTAGGAACAATAAAGACTTTTAAACAACTATTGGATTGATAAGCTCACATGTGATAGCTAAGCCATGGAAGCGTTATTAATAGCATTCATTGATTTAATATCTTTTCACAACTCGCTCTAACCATTTTTTTACTCTAATGTATTCATTTATTCATGGAAGTTCAAAACAATATATAAAATTGATTTTTCTATAACACTAGCTGTTTTCTCACGACTTCGCAAATTAAATTCGTATTAATTATAGCCCATACACGGCATCACGGGTAACCCGTGTATGATGTAGCTCTTCGTAAATGAAAGAATTTTCAAATAAACGTGGCATAACCACCCAGTCTAGAGATAATATAGTCAAATTAATTATAAAACGTAGTAAAAGATTCTGACGCCATGGATTGCGGCCGCGTTGGAATGGAACGAACGATTCAAACTCTCAAACGGAAATTTAAAGAGTTCGGAATACTGACTTAGTTAACATAATAAAAACATTAATTTACATTAACATGATTCATAGCTTGTATTGTCTGTTTCACGCCATACCTTCTCACTCATGAATAGTTAGCAAACAACATAAGTCATTCAGGCTAGCCCGTAGACCTGCGTATTATTAAAAATATCACGATTACAAATGTACAAGGAAAATGCGCTATTCGGTCAAGGCTAAAGGATTATGGCAATAAAAACTGGTCAAGTGCGAGTCGCACTCGCGCACGAAAGGTGCCGTACCATTATATACACTATAAATATACCATTATATCACCTTTTTTGCATTAGAGCAACCTTTAAATATTTATTTTATTCTGTTTTTAGTATTTACTATTATAGCGTTAACCAAAATAGATTATATGTGTAAATTTCAACTATCTAACTATCACGCTTCGTAAGATACAGCCTGATAACAGACAGACAGACGGACGAGGAGTCTAAGTCAAGAGTCCCGTTTTTAACCATCGGGTACGGAACCCTGAACAATAATAACTCACATAAGTAGTAGTTATTAGTTATTTTGGAAGAGTAGGTATTATATATGTGACCCGTGTCTTCAATGGGAAAAGACAGACAAAGTGAAAAGTGATGTGTTCTAAATTAGACCACTTTTGATCCACATCTTCAGCCACATAATTGAAAGTGGTCAAATTAAAACTATCTCTGGTTTTAATTGAACTTCCTAAAGACTATATCTAAAGAAACTAAAACTATCTAAAAAATGGGAAATCTATATTATATTTCTAAGTTCTAAGGATTTTGTCACACTAATAAAATTTATGCGCAATTCGCCATGGTTTGACCTTATCCATCTCATGGCCGGGCACAAGGATAAGGATAAGAATAGTTTTGTCTTTATACTTCAGTCTTAAGAGTTTTCTCGGCAAAAAGTAGTCTATTTCAGTATCTAACTTATCGACTATCTCAATAAAAAATCATATTATAATAACACTTCATATTCTTATTATAATAATATTCATATAATAATATTCATATAATAATAAAAAATTATAACATTAATCAATCTTTATCAAATAAAAAAAAGATTCAAATAAGTGTAATATAAAAGCAGAATTTTTTTAAGAATACACCGCAAGATTTTTTATAAAACGTCTTGTTACAGGACAATTATTATTAATCTGATATAGCTCCAGGGTAACATTTATTACTGAAACGTTGACTGTCTAATAATAAAAATTAATAGTCTACACTTACTTATTATTACATTTGTTTTTGTTAATAATATTGTTTTGAATTAATTTAACGAATTAATCATTTTCGTATGAATAAAACATTACAGTAGCTAGAGTTCGCTATAACAAATTTAGTATCAAAGCTCAAGAGCTTGCAAAAACCAGTCTCCAACCTCGAGAAATCAAGATGGCCACCACGTGACGTAACGGTCGATCCGGTTCAAAGCGGATTATTCCAGTTGAGGTCATTCAACTCGTCCATTTAATACAGCAAAACAAATGTGAAAGCTTCGTTCTGCTTTTTCATATTCTCTAAATACACTTATATGCCTTACAAGTTAATTGCGTTTTTCATTTTATCCTGTTTACGTTTTAATTATATTTTTTTTTATATTAACGATGATTGTTAGATACAAAGAAAAAAGAACGGATCACATTCTTATCTATAATTGTTTTTATTTATTGTTGACAGCAAGTGGGGCCTTAATACCATAAAGTAATTTCGATTAGTCAATCGGTCAATTTTAGTTGATTAACGTAACATACTTTGTGAAACATTTTTACGGTTTTCTTTGAATTTTTTTTTGCCCCAAAAAGAAGCAGTCATGTTTTAAATTCATTTATTTACATTATACAACAAAAGGTTACTACTAATTTACATATTATGTGAGTCAAGTTTCAAATCAAACGTAGTAGAACATTCCGAAGAAACACAAAGTGATCCTAGATCCTCCGTGTTACCTTTTTTTAATACGGAATTTAAAAAATGTTACACCTTATTACATACTGTTGATTTTAAAAGTTCAATTGCGCAATGGTTTGTGATGTGTGAGACAGCAACTTTTTAGCGTCATCATACGGTCGGTCATACCCCTCGTAACCAAAAAATTTAATATCTTGAGCTTTGGAACTTTGGAAAGCGCATTAGCCCATTGCTTCCGACCTACGTTTTCAGTTAGTAATTAATACCCAGTAACCCAAAGTGCGCCGAAGTTTTTGTGCGCCGTACTTCACGGGACAGTCCTTATTTCTGGCATAAATTCAAATGTTCTATTGACACCTACTTTCTCCCGTATATCGATTCGATATGTATTATCCGCTGATGATCCTCCTTAACCATCGATATGGGTGGCCTAAACCCCTGCATTGGGGACGTAAAAGGACTCATGATAGTGATGACGATCCGCTGATGAGGCTTAGGCTGCATATATCTACTTTGCTCGATCTGGTCTGTCTGTTTATACCTCTGTGCTTCTGTGCTCGACGTGGCGTAGGGAGGGAATGAACATAAATGCGACTTCTTGTCTCTGCCCCAGATAAAAATTTAAATCCTGTATTTTTTTTGCCTTTGCAAGAATTTGTCCTTTACAGGCTGAAAAAATCTGGTAACCCTAGTTATGGTCCTTCACAACTATATTAGACCATAGGGAAGGCCTGTGCTCCAACTGTAAGGACATCAATTGGCTGATGCTAATTCTTCATTTAGCTGGTCCAGATTTAAGGAGTTAATATCTTTCCAATTTAAAGCAACATTTTACTTTTTAAACAGGAAATCATTCACTGTTTCTTCGTTGCTATGTTTACAATTAGAATGTTTAATCGGAATCGGTTCCCACGGATGTATTGTTTGTTTGTCGATGTGTACGAGTACCAAATGAGTGGTAGAATTTCATTAATTAATTATCTGTTTAGTTAATTGTGATATAACAAATATTTTTTGATCAATTTGCGACTCGCCACAAGCTTATTCGATGTAACTTAAGCAGACGTCCTGAACGAGCGGTAGGGAAAAAAATGTTGGACGATTCAAAAGTACTTTAAAGAGAAGCCTATTTGAATAAAGATTATTTTGGCTTTGACTTATTACTTTTAATTTACCGTTTTAGTTCAAGTGGGTTCCGATTTTTACTTGAGCTGAAAACTTTAAAATGTAACATTACTAAGATAAAAACGGAATATTAGAATAGAAAAGCGTATCAGAATTTCTACCGGCATCAAATAATTTAACTTATACAGCTTAAGAGCACGCTCAATCAACCAAAAATCAAGCGATGTTATTAGTCTACTTTCACACATCCGTTTATTAGAATTGCAAATAACGCACTATCCTACGCTTAACTATCTAAGCAAAAAAAAAAAAAAAATCATAAAATTCACCATTTTTAATTTAGAACCCAACCCCAAAAGTGAGCTGATATATCTCACACCAAATCAAACACAATAAAAAAGAAATGTTATGACATTTGCTTAAAAATACAAAATGGCGGACTTCATCAATAGAATTAAGAATAAGAAAAGAAGTGACAGAAACAGTATATACTCTATGGTATCCTCCAGTGACCTGACTCCTGGTAGCTTGGAGATCTGGTTGGATCTGCCAGATGAGATAAAATTTGACCCATCACTGGAGCCGTTCAAGAAAAAGTATGAGCAACAACATGGTAAGTCTGTTGATTGATTGATTCAATAAAATATTCATCCATTATTGAAACCCCTTTTTGGGTAACCTTTTTTATCCCATCCATCTGTGTTATCCCTTTTTAAGGGCTATCTCTGTACCATTTTTCATTAATATTATTTACACATTAATTATTAGTAGAGATTTGGTGTTCTTTAAAATAATACTACCATAAAAAATATTGCATCATAGTTAAACATGTTTCCAAAGAATAGAAACATACATATTAATAATTTTGTTTATAAAAATTGCGAAAATTTTACAAGTCGTAATGTTATTATTAATAAAAATAATTATATGAATGTCTTATACAGGTAAGCTTGGAACACCCGAGGTACTGATCACGGACGAAGCTGAGAAGTCCTTATTCGACAAGAAAATCCCAACTGTCGAAGAAAATGTTGAACAAAATAACGAGAACATGCTTAGAGACTGCGGGAATAGGTGAGTTGGATTTTTAGATAAAACTGAGTATATACATAATCAAAGATATAAATCCTAAAAAGTTGTAATCGCATAAATTATAACCTATCGGCTGGCAACTGAATTGAGAAAAGTACAACTGATTATTCTCAATAGCTTCAGTTTTTTTACTTTTCACAAGGTAAAAAGTCCTAGTTTTTGTCAAACAGCAATCATTAAAAAAAAAACTAAAAACGGAATCAAAAGCCTGTTTATTTCAAATGCAATTAAAATAAAATACGCAATATGTAGCTTCCTGTAGTGAAAGAATATTTAAAAACGGTCCAGGTATAACCTATTGCAAATAAACAAACGATTAAATCTTACCTTATAGGAAAGGGACTAGTATATGGTAATAAAACTACGGACAAAAGGTTTATGTGACATCATTAAAATTATAGGAAAGCGAAATCGCGGTCTGTTCTTTTCTTCAATGATGCAAATATGTCGTCGATATATTTTTTTTATTTATCAAAACAGTTCCAATTATAAAAAAAATGCAGATCCGGTTTCGAATAAAATAATTTTGAAAAATAGTTCTACAGTCCGCGGAGGTATCGGTGAACATTACATAAAAATACATTTCGTCAAGAAACCTTTTCGTTCCGAAGTTAGTTCAAACCTTAAAACTGCGTCACACAACCAAATAAAGAATAGTATATAAATTTATAAATTTCCAATAAGTAACATACCTATTTATAAAGCTTAATGAACATAAGCAACAGCTATTAAAAAAAAATAATTGAAAAATACAATAAAACACTTGCATAACTAAAGAGGTCGGTAAAGCTATCGCCAATACTAAGTCTAATATTTGATAATTCATTGCATTCAACAGGTTAATGGAGCATAGCCCAGTAGAAGAGGAGAAAGAGATTAAATCAGAAACAGCAAGAAAGGTAAGGTTTCAAATACAGCTGATTGCACTTAACTGCTTTAAAAATATGTTAAAAGAATATTATTTATCACTTTATATTCTTAAAGATGCTATCGTTTTTATCCTTCTCCTATTCTAAACGTACACTTTGTTTAGGTACTGTTATATTTATTATGGTATATTTATGTATGTATATTTGCATGAGCTTATATGTATGTTTATAGATGAAAAAATGTTTTTTTCGCAATGTAAGACACCATCTAACCTGCGGTTACCTAGAAGAAATTGCTTTTTAGCGATAAGGCCGCCGATTGTACCACTAAATTGTATCGATTATCCTTTTATTTAATTATGATGTACATTCAAAGTATTCATTCATTCGTTCATTTATAAAAGCAGTTCCAGTTAAGTTTTAAATCAAATTTGACAATTACTGTCAAGCTAACTTTAACATTGACCGTGGAATGAGTTTCACAAAGGTTGCATCATCCTCTTTCTTGGCACAGTAAAACAATAACTTAAACCGGTGAATCTTGGGCGGTCATGGCTAACAGTTAAAGTAATACCGTCATCTAACCAAATGCCGAATGGTGCAACTGATTATTTGCTTAACCGGTACTTTAACATGTTTGCTATTTTTAAATTAAGTCGTTGCAACCGAGACTAAAAACTCATTACAGAAATGTTAACCAAACAGGTTAATCATGTGGAGTCTTGTAAATAAATAAAAAAAAAAATATCTCTGGCAAGTCTCGGGTCTTTTGTTTGATACCTTCATTGTTTCAGATTACTATAACCCTAGAGATATAATCTGATTGGGATTTGAGTATTTATATAAAATTCAATTTCAGATACATATGTAAATAAACACATTTAAATCAAAACATCTATTAAAATTGAAGAGTGACAAACCATATTAAGATTTTCACATTAGCAATACAATATTTGCTAACCTTACGTATAAAAATGATAAATCCGTTTTTCCTTACAGTTCCAATTCATTTTGCGTGTGGTAAAACTGTCAACATTGGTCGCCTGTTGGATGTTACTCACAGTATCCTTGATAATGAACAGAGAAAAATCCAACGTGGTCTTACACACAGCCGTCAAAGGTGGAGAGATTAAAGGTAACTGAATATCCAATATATATCCAACAGTAAATAATTGATAATATATATCCATCAGTAAATGACCGATTGCATATATCCAACAGTAAGTGACTGGTCACCTAAATTTTTAGTAAATTACTGGTCATCTACATCCAACAGTAAATTATTTATATTAAATAGTGACTAACTGAGTAAATTACTACTCAAAATTTAGGTGACCAGTCACTTACTGTTGGATGGTTGTCTACATCCGAAATAACTGACTGAATATCATCTTTACAGATATCACTAAATTAAAAGTTATATAACCAAAATTAATTAGTTTTTAGGGATTCTAATTCTCAATACGTAATTTGTAATAAATTAAAACTAAAACTACTTTCACTCAATGCAAATATGGTAATGATTTTTTTTTCAGAATATGAATTACGAACTACTCTTGACAGACTGCTTGTATCCGTTACAATAACAGGACCTTTCCGTCAAAATCTTTCCAATGATACTTCGAATATACTACAGTTGTGGCTACATAGAGAATCTGATATACTGGACATCGAACAAGTAAGTTTTTTATCTATTATCCTACAGGTCAATTTTACTAATGTTACCATAATAATAGCATCTCAAAAGAATCTCAACTATTTGCATTTTGCCAACGTAATTATATTATCATCAGAACGAGTGAGCCCATACCAAATTAACTAGCTTATCGCGAAAACGTTACTTCCCTTAGTTATATCCTTTTGTGTGACGGAACAGTTGTAACAGCTAATCTTATTAATATAATAATGGAGAGAGTTTGGATATTACTTTTACACGCGAAAACTTCTGAACGGATTTTATAAAATTTGGTATACCTACAATTACAAGCCTAGATTAATAGGGTACTACTTATACCACTAAACAGTTCCTTAGGGAACACGCGTGCTAAGCCGCTGGCGGAAAGCTAGTATGTCATAAGGTAACTACTCCTTTATAAATATTTATGTGCTTATTGCAATGTCAACATTGAGATGCTCAATGTGTTTTTATGGACAATAAAACTCCATTGTTTAGTTTTACAACTGTAATCAGCTCTATTATTGTTACTGTAAGCAAATCTTTTACCGATTACGAAAACGAATGATGTTTATTTAAACCATTATTCCTGTTACGTCACTATCACTTTCCTTAAATAGAGTAATAACAATAAATTATTTATTTTCCTTGTTTTTATTTAAGAAAAACTTGCTTTTTATATAGTACCCAAAACTTATATCAACAAATTTAACATTAGCTGTTTTTAAAGAGTGAGCAAAGAAGGACGAAAAACAACGAATATGTGAATGAAATTAGATTTTTCAGTAAAACATTACTCTCCAGTCTCCTAAAAATTTTCACCTAAAAATCATAGCTTAAAGACATTTCATTACGAGCGACGTGAACAAACAAACACTCTTTCCCATTTAAAATATTAGTATGGATTTTATAGAAATTGTGAAATACAATTAGATTATTGCATCTGTTGGATGTGTGAATATTGAAACTAAATCTATTACATAATCAACAGTCACCAAAATCTTTGGAACTACACAATGTATTTAAATAATATAAATAATAATATAAGAAGAAGGTTTATATAATAATCAGTGGTCGGAATTAGGTAGAGTTAATCATGTACTTACACTGATTTCATACAGTGAAAGAATAAGTGGATATGCCTCAAATCCCGAGATTAATTTTAAAGAGCAGAAAAAATCCCATGATTTTTTAAATAAAAAGTTATTTACTTTTACACAATTTAAACTACTGCACGCACGACGTTGCCAAACTTACATTAATGAAAGAAAGAAATAAAGGAATCCCGGGAAGGTCCACATTAATATCAACATTTCGATGCAAGTACATCAATAACTCTACCTAACTCCAACCTCTGATAATAACAGACGATCTTGCGGTAAAAGCCGCTGCCAGAAAGCTATTATTATTAAAAAGAAAATTACGTTATATACCTAATTATATCGTAAATTTAAATCTTTTTCAGAATTCTCGTCTATGGTTAGTGAATTTACAGCCTGAGGATCTTTTAGATTTCTCACCGAGTACATCGGAGACAAAGACTCTAGTGTTGGAGAAGAGTCGATATTCTAGAAACACAACCAGTGATGGTAATGATACATGGATTATCGACTCTTTGTGGGACCAAGTCGACAATAACGGTGGGTATATAAATTAATAAAAATTACTCAGATTCTTAATGAAAAATGCTTTAAAAAACCACTTTGACCCTGGCACTCTGAGATTGATCAAATATTATAATTACTCAGATCCAGAGCACTTGTATTTTGGAAATCTGGATCAAAACAATATAAGAAATGTTAATTTCCTGCCTTCACCCGGTCAGGTCAATATTGTACCGGGATTTGATCCAAGAGACTCAGAGATACCTTAAAACCGGCGTGGAGGCCGCTGGGCCCCAGATGTCGTCAAATCTATCTCGTGTCAAGATGTATGTCATTGATAACCTCCAAAACTTCTGAACCGATTTTAATCAAAATTTACATGCATCTGTAATTTAGTCTAACTTAGAAGATACGTATTTAGTTATGCTTCATGTACTTACATACCGGAATCATTATGAACCAACAAGTTTATTAAAATAACTAAAAAGCTTTAATACTGCTAACATTATTTTCAGATACTAAAGTGACTCTTCGAATGTTCACATCCAGTAACAGTACTGTCCCTCTAACTGTCAGCTATCAAATGAATACATTGGAAGAAAGAGATGGCCTTATATATTCAACCGTACTGCTGTGCACTTTGTATTTCTTGATTATATTTGAGGTAAGTAGCAAACAGAGAAGTAAGATTTCAACCGAATTTACATTACTAAAGTAATGGCATAAAACTAGTTCCATTGCATTATTTCGCTAGCGGTTGCATTTGCAAGTGTCCATTTTCGTAATGCATGTATTAGTTTCACGACACTAAATTAGTTACATGCGATGCGCATATTAAATATGCGCATTTCGCGTAACTAATTTCACCTAGATTTATATATCGAAACCATCTGTTCATAGAAAAGTTCTGATATTGATGGAGTCAGTGTTTTAGAGATACAGATATTTGCAAGCCATCACGACACTAATTTCACATTCATAAAACTTGTTTTAGTTGCATGCAACTGCTTTTGCTTTTGAGTAGCTCGGTGGCGTAGTGGATAAGCGCCGCGGCCCGCGATCGTAGTCGTTAAGCAACTTTCGCAAGGGTCGGTCACGGGATGGGTGACCAAAAAATTATTATCTCTATCTACTCCGTGCTTCGGAAGGCACGTTAAGCCGTTGGTCCCGGCTGCATTTGCAGTCGTTAATACCCTCCAATCCGCATTGGGCCAGCGTGGAGAGTCATAGCCCATCCTCCTTAACCATCCATAAGGAAGGCCTGAGCCCCTGCAGTGGGGACGTTAAAGAGCTGGTGATGGTGATGAACTGCTTTTGTAATGTATATTAGTCTATACCGTTGATCAGACGGAAAATGCGTTGCAATTCGTCGGTGAACCGCTAGGACCTGCTCCGGTGGGCAAAATCAAACTATAGTTGCTCTGCTTGATGATATCCTTAATCCGATCCGGGATTCTGTTAGCACCGGATCCAACTCTAATCCCAAAGCTACCGTAGACCTTTTGACGCTGTGAAATTCATTATTGCATACACCGGGTCGCCAGCGCAGCTAACCCCAAAATGGGACTAGTCAAAGAGCAGGGGCGTACCCACTAAAACCCAGCGATATCCCTCGCATCGAATGATGCACGGGATCGGCCCGGAATACACCGCGCTGTTCGCCCCCATTTCGGCCCACCCTGAAAAGGGCAGGTCCTTCTGCGAGTTGGGGGTACATCTCAGAGACATTCGAGATGCACCACCCCCCGGACGAGGCGGAGGCAAGCAATGCTCGACCCGAAGATTGACTGACTCATCTTGTACTCTTAATCTCCGTACTCACATTATGATATTACTCGATCTACATATTACAGTAAAATCGTTCATACATTTCAATTCCTCTAAGTAATTCAAGGTTAACGAGGCAGGCCTCCTTGACCATTCATAGGGAAGAATTCCCCTGCAGTGGGGATGTAAAAAAGGGTGATGATAATAATTCAAGGTATTACAGAATTGAATACTCTTTTATTTACTTGATGGTAGATCTGATTATGGATTTTATAGCATTGTGAGTGCCGGATTTATCATTCACATAATAATCGGATTACCTATTATTGTCCAGGTAGTGAATCGAACCATAGCCGCTTTGCTCTCCTCATCGCTCGCGATAGCAGTGTTGGCACTCAGTGGTGCGCGCCCTTCGTTGCCTGAGCTGATCTCCTGGCTGGACGTGGAAACCTTGCTGCTGCTCTTCAGCATGATGATCTTAGTGGCGATACTGGCGGAGACTGGAGTCTTTGATTACTTGGCTGTGGTGGCTTTTGAAGTAAATTTATTTGATTTGTAAAGTTAAAACTACTTATAATTATTCGTTAAGATCCTAGACTCTTTTTTATATTTTTACCAATGTATTAATATAATACTGTGAGTTGATATAGACTTGTTCGTAGCATGACGCACAACATACATAGTAGCGCTTTTATTTCAAAATTAAAATAGTATAGCTACCTATTTAATAGTTTGGCAAACACGAGAAATTGTCTATATACTGTCTATAATCAACGTCTAAATCGTGTTACTTTCGACGCTTAGAATTAGTCTACTTTCTTTACTCTCTAGAAAAGGTTTCCATGTATTTCGAGTTCATGCTACGCGTGCTGTCCGTGCGTCCTCTGATCTTATTATTTAGGAAAAACATCAGTCACTCAGCAGGACTAGGCAGCTAACATTTTTAGAACAATAATTGTCGATGTTGGGTACCAGTTATTCTAAAATACAAACAATTTATTGCCTAGCTTAGACATCAGTCTCCTACAAATTATGTTCATGATTATACTAAGCACATTTATAAAATGTGAAGAAAGACACATCATTAAAATTATTATAAAAACAACATTCGATCCTCCAGTTTTAACACAAATAATTAAATTCTAATTAAAAGACTCGCATAATTAACGTTGTTATTCATGATGGCTGTATAGTCCTGCAAAATTGTTTGATGGTATTGAATAAAAAGCCCTGTATACTATTATTATTTATCAAACCAGGTGACGGGTGGACGTACGTGGCCTCTCATGAACTGCCTTTGTTTCTTCACTGCATTCTTTTCAACGTTTCTGGATAATGTTACCACAGTTCTTCTCATGACACCAGTCACTATAAGGTAAGTGAAAATATCCGGGCAATTTTTATATATTAAGTTGAAACAATACATGTTTTGTCACATTTAGTAAGCGTTACTGAGATATCTGGCGCAGTAGTTAGCGCGTTCGGACTAGCCGAAGTTATGAAGCTTTAGCAAAGGCTTTGGAATCTACAAAAGCAGAAAAAGGCTCTATGAAGAACATTATTATAACACAAATGAGTACTTCAAAGAATATGTATGAAATGACTCTAAGTTGTATAAATAAGTGTGTCGTTTAGCCAAATTATTCAAATGCAAATCAATTATTTAAATTAGTAAAGATAAAGATATAATGACTCGGAATATCATAAACAGTGAAATTAGAAGAGAAAATACCCAGAATACTCATTTTATTTAAATATTTATAGTAAAAAGTTACCTAAGCTCTTGAAGTTGCTACAGTATTTGAAAATTTATTTACTGAAATACGTCCTAGTTACACAATCTTTGAATTCCTCTTCCACTGTTGCTGAATCTATTTTAAAAGAAAATTCAAATAACTCTAGTAGTCAATTTAAGTTTCATAGATATAAATAAATCTTTTAATCGACTAAAGAAAAATCAGCGGTCTGCTGATGCCGTTTTCAAATCTGTAATTGAGATAATAGCTCCAATCCTAGCTTATATATTTAATGAATGTAAAGAAACTTAGTTTACTCATTTGATTACGATATAAGATAGCTGCATTTTTATAGTATGACTGATTTAGTATAAACAAACATAAATTCATATATTTGAATATATTTCCCTTGCTTCAGATTATGTGAGGTGATGCATTTGAATCCAGTGCCAGTTTTAATGTCGATGGTGATATTCAGTAACGTGGGGGGTGCCGCTACTCCTGTCGGGGACCCCCCAAATGTGATTATAGCCAGCCATCCGTCTATGTTAGCACAGGTTTGTAAAATCATCAATCTCTGGATCCGCTGTTCGCAGTATGACAGAGTGCCAAAAGGCATCTTTACATAATCTTGAAGATTTCTAGGACATACATATAAACGCTCATTCGAAAACATCACCGAAACCAGTTTATAATTAAGCGGAAAGGTAAAATTACAGCAAAAAGCAGAGAAAATGAAAAGAAAAAATTAATTACAGCATATTTGGACGTAATTTCTTTATACAAAATCAGTTAAAAATGAACGAGTATGGTGCCCTCTTAGACTTTATCTAGACCTTTTTAGTTCTAAGTGTCTTATATACAAATATATTTTTTGTTCACAGAACATCAACTTTACTTCGTTTACTTTTCACATGGGACTAGGTATTTTACTAGTATGTGTACAAACATACTTGCAACTGAGGTTTATGTTCAGAGATATTAGTAAATTACGGCATAGCGTTCCAAGGGATATATTAGGTAATCACCAAAATTTCATCAAATTATTTTCTATTAATAAGCAACTTTTTAACGTCCGCTGATAGTTGGGTGACCGAAAATTAACCATTTCGTGTTCCTCCGTGCTTCAGAAGCAGTTGGTTACGATTGCGTCTACAGTCATAAACATCCACCATTCTACACCGGGGCCGCTTGGTGCGTCATTGATATTCTCCTACGGGGGGAACAAACCATGGGGAAGGCTTATGCCTCAGCAGTGGGAATATTAGTGGTGGTAACTATTTTGAGCTCACGCGTGCTTTAGAAGGCCCACTAATACCTTATGTGTCTGCGTGGTGGGTTACTGGTAATTTCCCCTTTTTCTTTCTTACCTTAAAGAAGGCTTATGCTCCAGCAGAAAGGAATTATGAGGACTATATATATATTTGTAAATGAAGTTTTTTTTTATTTCTCAGGTTTCTAATTTTCATAAATCTTAACAAACTTTTCCACAAGATCTATACTCAAGTTAAACATTTTACTTTTAGAATTACGTCAAGAGATAGCTGTATGGAGAAGGGCTGCTGCTTCTTTATCATCTTACTCCAGAGACGAAGACTTGGTGAGAAGGGCATTAGAAAAAAAGGCAAGTCTATTACTATTATGAGACTATGTAGTGTCAAAGGTCAAGCCTGAGGTATCGCAATTAACAACAACTTCAATAATGATATGTTTTGAAAATGGGTAGGATGCGTGTGACAAAAAAGTGATGGACATGAATGTTGATGAGAATCCAGGAAGAGAAATGCTAAGAAAGGGTGATCTATAACGACTAAAGAATGAATAAGAATTGAAAGAAAGGGTAAGAGAAGAGAAGAGTAAGGATGATATTGAGGAAAATGGTAAAGGAAAAAAAGAGTAAGGGGTTACATCAACGGGTAATGAGTGCTGCATTACAAAAAAGCAATAAAGAGTTTTAACTTATTCATATATAAATGATAAAATAAAACTGTGTTCGATACATGGAAATATCATTATTGTAAACCCAATTTTATTCAATGTATTTAAAATGGAAATAATAATAATTATAATTATATTGATTTCAGGTTGAAAGACTGAATTCAGTATTAGTGAGAAGAGAAGCTGGAGGCGGCACCTCCAGAACTGATCCAAAGTTCTGCTCTACATTAGCGCAGATGAAGGAAAAGGTAAACCTTGTTAGAGATTGATCCAACTTTACAGCAAGAGTGTTGCTACAACTAAATATAAATGCACAATTTTATTTACGCAAACTTAAAATAAGTAACCAACTTCGTGCCGGTTTAGAATTCATAAATTTCACGTGATTTATGACAGTGGACACTAAAATTATTCATTCAAGTACTGGTTCGAAATGAATTCATCCTAGTGTTACCACTAGGACGAACTGCCGTTCTGAGTTACCGAGTTCAGTGTGCCTAAACTTGTATTTCAAACTCGTAAGTCCAATCTGTTTCGTGCGCAGAAAATGAGAACATTCTCGTGCATAATCTTTGATCCTAGTATCATTGTTTCAGTACCAAATCCGCGATAAACAGCTGTTGGTGAAGTCCGCCGTGTGCGTCATGTTTGTAGTCGTCGTGTTCTTCCTTCACGCCATCCCAGAGTTGCGTATGTGTATTATATAAATAAATTTTATAATCTCACCCAGAAACTACCATTTAATAAATGAAATTTGAACAAAGTCCAAAGTAATGTGTTAAAATTTATTTTCTCGTGATAAATATCATCATCAACCTTTTAAAGCCCCCACTGCTCGGGTTCTAGGCTTTCCTATGGATTGAAACGTAACAAATCGAATAGGGACATATAATCTTACATGAAACTTATTAATAGAATGGTGCCCTAACTTATTATGCAATAAGATTATTATTAGACATAATACCAATAATGAAAGCGAAAAGGTGACTATTTTTATGTTTGTCCGTCAGGTTATTGAAGAATATTAAGTAGGTACTTTTACAGGTATATTTTCTTTAAATTGAACCCAAAAAATACATATCTGAAAATTTTCCTATTATCTGGCTGACGAACTATATAGAATTTCATTTCTTTTACATAGGCGTCATCCCTGTTTTTCTGTAAATCCTTTGTATGGAACCTTTTATCTTATATTACATGTGGTACTATTATAAGTGCAACCATACCATAAATTCCATTGTTTAAATTTTTAAATTGTCTTTTTTGTTTATCGGTGAATAGAGTATCTATATAAATTAGCAATATATTTTAAATTACATTTATTTTTATAGCGAATTAGGTGACAGAGTAATTCATTTCTTTTTTTTTCTAGAACGTTTATCGCTAGGATGGACAGCATTACTAGGAGCTTTGCTACTGCTGCTCTTGGCTGAGAGAGAAGACTTAGAGCCGATCCTTGCCAGAGTAGAGTGGTCTACTCTTTTATTCTTTGCAGCTCTCTTTGTTTTAATGGAGGTCTGTTGCTTGAATATTTACTTCTCATTAGCTACTTGATTGTTTTGATAGAAATAGTTTAAATCCTTCATCTGCTCATATTAATTCATTATAATAATTGATTTTCCTACATAAAAAAGTATCTTTTTAATCGTTATTTTAAACTGTGCCTCGAAATCAATCAGACATTAGACATTTCAAACAGTGACGTCACATTTTAATAAATATGAATACTGGTTAAACTCGGAACAAAGACTTTTACATTTAATTTATTGAAATATGTTGTCAGGCGATGTTGGGAATTGCAAGTTAATTTTGCGAATATAATGATGATTTACTTAAAAAATATTTTTAAACAAAATATTCTGCATAGTCACTTATAAGTTCCCATTTCCAATATATTTAGCTAATAAAAAATAACTATTTAACCATGCAAACTTTGTATCTTCTTGGGTGGTAATAATACATGTAATGTTGTCACGCATAGCCTCTTTTTGTTTGAATTTGTTTCTTTCTACAATAATACGAAAATAATTATTTAGGTGTGTAATCCATGTCATCATTATGTATGTCATAACGTCGCTTGTATTTGTGCTCATATCGAAAACTGTCATAACTTTATTATAAAACTTTAATAACTTTTCTTTATTTTTCATTGATTTTTAAGATTTTGCCCCTTTTTTAGGCTCTATCGAAACTGGGTTTGATCGCGTGGATCGGCAATATGACAGAAGCTGTCATTTTACAAGTGAATCAGGAATCAAGATTGGCTGTGGCTATAATGCTAGTTTTATGGGTAAGATTCTTTTTAAGTCGCAACATTGATATTAGGACTGCAACTTAATAATGCTAATGGTTATTACACCATTGTGAAGCCTACATAACATGGATGGCGAACCAATAATAAATGAAAATATTAAGTTTATATTTTCAGGCAAGGAAAACCAATGATATAATTTCAGTTACTCTACTTTATTTGTTCAATTTTAGGGGAATAAAAGGTTTCGTTTGTTTTAATGACCGTAATAGCCTCAAAAGTAAATAAAATAAAAATGTTTGAAGGGCAAAATAAAATTAAATATTCTGTGAAATATTGGATAATTCGAAAACTTTTTTCTCTCTCCCTGTCTTGAATTAGGAAGATCAACTCTGGGATGAATTAAAGCCTACCGCGTAACTACATCAGTTACTGTTAATTTTATTTCAAACTAGCTTTAGAATCATTCAGTTTAATGAAATGAAGACTAAATTAGATGCAGTCAGTGTAGAGTAGTGATAGAAAGGACTCGAGTCTTTTAGCCTTTTTTTTTAGATTTGCAGCCTTATTGACAGGGCTAAAAGGCTAAATAGGATTTAAGCCCTCGAGGTATATTAAAAAAAGGCTTTTGGCTCCTTCCTTCTCCTCTTTGGGGTTGGTCATGAGATAAAAAAGAAATGAAGTAAATGATACAGAAACGAAAAAAGTGAGTTTCATATTTATTATCTAACGATTAAAAAAAAATCACATTTATACAATATATTTCAAGTATACCACCTCATTATTTATTATTATTATTTATTATCATTTTCATAATAAATGTAAATAGTACTTTAATCAATAATATCTTGTATTTCTATATAACCTGACTAGGCTTTTTTTTTAATTACAACTAGCTAAAGCTTCAATTACGACTCCAGCTTTCAGAAAAGGCTCGAACTTTAAACAAGGGCTAAGCTTAAAAAAACACTTGAGCCCTTTTTTAGTAAAGAACTTTTAGTAGGCCTATTTTATGAGAACGTCTTAAAAAAGGACTCGAGGTTTTAAATTAAAGCCTAAAAGGCTCGAGTATTTTCTACCTCTAGTGTAGTGAGATATGTGCAGCCGATTTAAGTGACATTTGGGTGTTGACAAAATGTTCTCGAATTCGTCATGCTACAGTGTGCACAAGAGTTACTCTGAATACCGCTAGTAAAGCAATCGCGTGCGTCTTGGATTGCCAGTCGCTACTCTATCGCTTCTTTTTTCTTTGTGATTTCGTGCTTTATAGTTGTTTTGTTTTAATTTGATAATCTGCACGTGTAGAATAAAAACTGACGGAAAGTTAAGCTGTGTCACATTATATATTAAAGCTATAGCTAAATAAAAAAAAATATTTGTCGTCGTATAGCTAAATAAAAATATTTTCGAAATCGTCTCATGAAAGAAGTTCCGCGGCAATTTGTGGAACTAAAATGACAGATCGGCCACGTTGTCGTCGTCAGGTGTTGTGATTGGTTCATACATATTTTAGGTTACTAGCTGTGCGTTATTTACCAATTGAATAAGTTTTTTATTTAATTTCACTAGCTTAACATCTAATTTATATATGTTAAATAATTGTGTTGTTGTTGTTCATTTGCCAAAGTTACGATTATATTAAAACATATTAAAGTAGGTTTTACAATATAGGTAAATTAATATAGTTGTATGTGAACATCGATGAGTGTAACCTCAGAAGGTTGGTTTAAATAATGTAAACATATGGAGCATCTTGAAAATTATTATTTAAAAATCGACGATGGGCTGGTGGATAATGCAGTGGACAAGCTTATAATTTTTCCAGTTAGTGATAGCTAAACTGAGTCTGATCACGATAATATTATTTATGATCATAATTCAAATCCATAGTGACTGTAGTATATCTAAAATACCAGGCCACATCATTTAATTGTTTCTACAAATACTATTCAAAATAGAGTGCGCAAAAGTCTGCTGAGGAGGTTATGTCAAATATTAGTACGATTTCACCATTGTTTTTCGCATTTTAATGTATATCTAAATGGTGATTCCTTTAATTTTCTCTAAAGGGTTTCGAAAATTTGTAGTTAGCAACCCAGACGTTTGACTGCAGCGTCGCGTCTGCGAGACTTCTTTCATGATATGTAACGTTCGTGTCAACGCCCAACTCAAAACGAACGATTAGTTGATGTGAGGCACTGCACTGATAAAATCACTGGTTGTCATCGGTCAGGTGTCAGGTCTAGCGTCGGCGTTTGTGGATAACATACCGCTGACGACGATGATGGTGCGCGTGATCGCCGCCCTCGCCGATCCCGCTGGACTCAATTTACCGCTGGCGCCGCTCGCGTGGGCATTGAGCTTCGGAGCGTGTCTGGGAGGTAAATGTTATTTTAGTCTAACTAACCTTATAGAACCAGCAGATTTTCATTTCCTGGGTAAGCATATACCATCTTAGGCCACATCTGACTTACCATCATGACCCATTCTCCCTATTCGATTTGATTGATTCGATACCATCCGTAGTGATGGCCTGAGCCCCCATTAATAAGCTGGTGATGATAATGACGAGATAATTTAATCAATCAAATGTGAGTGTTGACAACAGTAGATGCAGCTAGCACCAACGGCTCAACGTGCCTTCCCGAAGCTCGAAATAATAAATTTTGTCCCCTATCCTAGGACCGCTCGTTGGGAAAGTTCTGTAGCAGTCATATCGCAGATCGAGTGCGCTAACCAATGCGCTATAGAGCTCCTTATGAGAGATTAAATGATATAAACTCAATATTCCCTTCATTCCAGGTAATGGCACTTTGATCGGTGCCAGTGCTAACGTAGTATGCGCAGGAGTGGCGGAACAACACGGCTACCGATTCACATTTGTCCAGTACATTAAAATCGGTTTCCCAGTTATGATGGGGAACCTTCTAGTGGCATCAGTTTATTTGATAGTTTGCCATGTCTTGTTCAGTTGGCACTGACAAAATATACTTTAAATTATGTAACATCACAAATATATTTAAGTGCTTAATATATTTTCATCAATCTTTGAGTATATCAATATTTGAACAATAATCACAATCACTACTCTTATGGCAGACGAAATAATGAACAATTTCCTTAAGTATTATGTAAGCGTTCTACGATACGTATCGCTAGCCATAGAACTCTGTATCGTTTTCGCACTGAGTTTCGTTGTACGGGAGGTTATTATAAGCCTACCCTAGGCATAGATTATAGTTTAGTGATGTACAAAAACTGCAATACAGATTAGATTAGAGACAGTAGGTAGACATATACGATGTATACAATTCTTGAATGGGTGAAGAGTATCTTATATCAGCAAGTTAAACACAAATGGCACGAGTGAGTGAAATAAAGCCATCGTAAAAGTTTTATCGATCGTCGCCGAATGAAGAAAATTTCGTATAATGACCCGGCATTACATATCTCATTCGTGCTTAAAGATAGTGCTATAATTGTTACGATTTCTATCAGGTCAATATACGATGTTCTCTCCGTTTGGCGACTGAACAATAATCATCTGTGAATGCTGCGTATCAAAAGATATTGTCAAGTCACAGACATACCAGCAGCACACGGTGAGGCATATCACAATTGTAGTTTATGCAACTGTCATATAAGAAGGGATATTAAAACACAAGAGTCTGTTTATTAAAACACGATAATAGGTTGACTCGAGGGTTTTAATACCTAAGTTATATGCAGTTTCATACACTACTTTTAAAATTAAACAAAGTCAGTAGGTTACAAGGAAGTAATTTATGCGTACGCCATTGTTTTTCACAGTTCGAACTGTGAAATTCTTATTCAGCCTAAAACCATAGACTAGTTTAATGAATAAAAAAAGATAGCGGTACTACAATGAGTTTTATGATACAGTTGGCGGTACTATAATGAGTTTTATTTTACATTTTATGTATATGCGTTTATGAAGTGCGTATGTATAGAATCGTCTTTGAATTAGTATTTAGAATTTTTCGATTTGAGTGTAGATGAACATGATTGTTGCAGGACAATTCTGACTAATGTTTACGTACCTATTAAACGCATCTCAATAGATTTTGCCTTTACACTTTGCACTACCTGAAGTCCAGTAATATAATATATATGTCACCATTAACGTGTGAGGAAGACATTGCACTAATAATATATAGTATAATATGTATAATAATATATAAGTATAATAGTATAATAATATAATATATATATGCAAGTAGTTGATATTAATTGAGATGCGACTATTACGTGAACATGAGCAGAATTGGCCTGCTGGCAGACTTTGTAGGCAACTCGGGAGCTTTGGTTATGTATTGCACTTGAATTGTACTTCTGTGAGATACTTGACGGATCATTAGTTAAATTTGCATCGACTCTTAAAAGGTTGAGTTATTAAACATTGTGTATGCACCTTTATATTCATATTTGTAGTGAAAACCGTTTTTTTTACATATATATCATTTATAATATGCGTGTCTCAATTTAAGAGGTCCTGGGTTCTCTCCCTGCTAATTGATATGATAGAAAATGATCTTCCCTATATTGTCTCGGATCTGGATGTTGTGATACCATCGTTTTTTCAGATTACCATAATATAAGTGCTTAAGCTAATTATTTTGGGATCTGAATAATGTATACGATGTCTAATATTTATTTATAGTACATTAGTTAGATATTAATTTATACATTCCACGCGATTATGTTTTATCCAGCTTTCAGTTCTTTTTTTAGATGTTTTACCATAACGTACTGTTCCCATGGTTCTTTTAATAATAAATAATTAAATAACCTACCTATTAAAAAGAAAGACAATAAAATTGTTAAAATATTTTTTTATGACATTATAGATTATTTGTAAAAAAAAAATCAAAACACATGTGATAGTATTTTATTATTATAAGTACTGCGTACTTAATTAACTTTATGCACCTTGACTTTTGTATAAAAAACACATATATTTTATTTATTAAAATAATAAAAAAAAAATCATTGTTGATAATCATGTAAATAGAATAAATATGTTACATTATTTTGTAAACTTTATAATGAATATGACAGATTTATCAATAATATTAGTGAAATTTTAAAGTAATTGTAATTAGCACCGGTAGATGTCGCTGTTTTGAGTTTCCTAGCTATCTATTAGGTGTGTTTTATCCTAATTAGACAGTTTTTCGTCATCATTTTAGAGTGTGATTTTAACATAGGTACCGACTATGTAACGTATAGTGTGTGACATTTAGATGTTTTAGACAACAATGATATAATATTAAAAAGTGGTTAGAATTTTTTAGTATAGCCTGGTTGTTCTACCGATCATCAATTTAGTTCTCCTTTTTTTTTCAAAATACTCGTAAAAACTTTCTAAATGAACAAGTGATATTATTTTTTTTTTTTGCAAAGGTAATTCATTAATTACAGCCAAAATACAATAAAATTATGTAATGTTTAATTTAGTGATTGTAAAATAAAATGAGACAATGTATTTCTCTTTTGGTACTAAACTCGGGAATAAACTAGCGACTAACTGTATAATATTTAAATGATAAAACAGTAAAAATGTCACTGGCTTTTACAAAATGGCGTCTACCGCGATGTATCCAAACTTTTTGTTACTATTTTATTGTTCCTCCCAAAAAAAAAAAAAGGTTTTCATAGAAATTAGATAGTTATAAACTAATATAAAGAGAACGACTACAACAACATTACATTTTCAACTAAATATCTATGTTGAATTTCCACAAAAGATTATGCATTCTATGCGCAATACATTGCAAATTCAAGGTCTAAATTCACAAGTGAAATTTGACAAATAAAATAGACCTGCCCTGCGATCCTGTAACAATCCGAACCCGGATTTGAATACAACTATAAGGACTTTACTAAAACATGATCCTTGAGAAAGGAGATGTCAATGAAAAGCGACATCAGTTCAACCTTGAATTGGTAATAATATTTCATAAGTGAAGTGAGTTTCGAAATGGCATAGTGATAGAATATCTGAGACACGTTCAATCAATTTTGTTTTGTATTTTTGTACAAAAAATTAAATCAATCGGATTTATACACTAAATAACAATTCGGGTACATGAGTGAATTCGAATTCGGGTTCGGATTTTTATAGAATCGCTCCCCAGGTCTAGATTCCATATTCTGAGACATCTCCTAGGATCAAGTTTTAGTAAAGACCTTATAGTTGTATTGATATAAAATAACATGTGTATGTCTTGGAAACAGTTATGTATTTTGAAAACAAAATCAAAAATTCAGTATATTATGACCTGTCTCCACCAATGTTACGGCAATTTCTTTAATATTGTACAAAGTGACCGCGTAATTATATGTATAAAATAATCTATTCTTGTTAAGGAATTATTAAAAATTTTCATTGTTATTTTTTATTAATATTTAAAATTTCTAATTTTAACGTAACTTAACATCACGACCGTTTCGTTATTACGATGAAATAGATAATAAAAAATCATTACAATATTAATTTCTTTTTCTTATTTTCATGAAATTATGGTAATTTGATCCCATGGTTGGGTTATAAATTCGATAATAATATGGCGAATCGTAGTCTGTTCAACCTTTCTGTAATCTTTCTTTGGCTCCCGTAAAAAAAATCACCATCGACCCCAATTATCAATGCTTTTTCAGATATAGAATATGTCCGAGTGCAAAGAGGCGTAACTAATAAGACTCAATCGTTTATAATTCTGTATGTATTTTTATATTTTTCAGAATTTTGAACAGAAATTATACAGTTTTAGTAATGTTTTAAAACCTTTTCTGAAGACACAAAGTTGATATATATATAACGGCGGGTAGTCTCAGGGGGCTATTACGAAGCCCAAATAGATCGTCCATATCGGAGGACTATCTTTAAAATAACACTGCAGGGGTGTATACCAACGTCGATTTGTTACATTTGATCACTTTCATACGAAATATAACGAGATGAGCGTGATGTCGTCGGATGTCTTTACTCCTCGGCGATCGGAAACAGAATGTGTGCCAAAATGGCGGCAACTTGGTTTTTATAAACGGACTGTCAAAGTCAGTGTCACCATTCTAATAAAATTAAAAGTATCGATGATCACGCTCTCTTTACAATCGAGTAATTAAGTAATCGAGTAACAAGCAATTAAAATAAAAGAAACTAAATCAAACGATCTTCGTAATGATGATGCGACATATACAGGAATAATTTAAAACCACTGCGAAGATTTTGTGAAAATAAACTTTAAGTAATTTAAATAAACACGTATTTTTTATTTTGATATGTTCTAATACTAAAAAATAAAGTTATCGCTTATCAAAGATTGAGATTTTAAAACTTCATTTATGGACACCGCGCGCCGTGCGTCAGCTGACCGCTCGCTCGACGCCGTAGGCATGTACTCGTAGGTACCTATCTACACGGGTCACTGAACG